CTCCTCTCTCTCTCTCTCTCTCTCTCTCTCTCTGTCTCTCCCCCCCCCCAGTTGAAACTCCAAACTAGTCAAACAAAGCCATGAGAAAGTGTTTTGGATAAGCCTTTTCCCAACTAACAGCTTGAATGTGCTCTGGGAACACTAACATCATTTTTTAATTAACATTAATTCTGTTTAGCTTCAACTATGAAAGAAACGGGGTTTCTTCAAACACCAATTAACAAAGCAAACCCCAATAAAGGGAAAATACTCTCTCCCCACCTCCAGACTCCAACAGGAAATTCCCCCCTGTTGAGTTTTCCCTAAGGTCTCTATAAAGTTTTTCTGATGAACTTTCTAGAGCCTTAATGAGAATGAATCAGTACAAGATTTTCCATCATATAAACAGAAATATTTAATTTCATGAAAGGGGACAGCATGTTTGACTATGTCCAAACCATTGCATAATATCTTTAATATTCTCTCCTTCCTAGTAATTTATTTCTCATAGTATTTTCATTAGAGTAATTCTTTAGGGTTTCTCAAACCAGAGACCTATACCTAAGCATCATAAATAAAAAGACTTTTTAAAGACTTAAGTTTTTGCTTCATTGACCACTTCACTTTCTTACTTGAAGCAGAGGGAAAATATTTGCCCTCTTTGTGTTTGCTTGGAATTAATTTTCCTGCATGGGCCACTCCTAGGACCCAGAGGGACAATCATACTTTCAGACATGCCCAAGGGGCAGAGCAACACATCCAAAGATCCCACTAGGACAATGTTTCTCACACCATGTTCAGAGAAAACACAAGATGTTATTCTGTGTACTACCCAAAAAGGGTTTTATGGTCAAATAAATTTGGGAAATGCTACAAACCATATTCTTTTTAGAGATTCACAAAGCACATTAGCATATTAAAAGCTCTGAGAAGTTATGTGATTAAGCAGAAGTAGCTTTACTTAGTTCACTTCATTTTTCTAATTAATTTGATCACACCATTCTTCATGGAAAAAAAAAAATCACTGAGAAAAAGTAGGGAAGAAATGAGTACTTTCTTAGCCCCAACTCTGTGCATCGATTATTTGGATTAATTCTCATAACAACCCCATGAGATAAATATTATCATCCTCATTTTACAGGTTAAAAATGTTGAAGTTTAAAGTATATATATATATATATATATATAGCATTTAGAGAGAGAGAGAGAGAGAGAGAGAGACACTGGCATTCAAATCCAGGTCTACCTGACTCTAAAGACTATGTTCTTCCTTCTACTATGTTTAATATTTTGTCCTCAAACTACCTTTCTGTACTGGCCAAATGTGACTTACTTCTTGCCTATTATTAACAGCTCAGCTCTCAGTGAGGGCAGATGCCATGTCTTGAACTCATCTGTGTGGCCACAGGGCTCACTGCAGTGCCTGGTACTGTACTCTCAACAGCTCTGGGCCAGAAGAATGAACTTGGCATAGAGAACAAGTGAAGGAAATAAAAGTTGTCCAAACTGTGCTCAGTTTTAACATGAACTACAAAACTCTCCAGAGACAGGATTCCAGATGAGTGAGGAACTTTAAATCTATGTCACAAGAGGGTGAAAAATGACCATGTTAACTTAATTTTAGTTTAATCTAAGTTGGAGGAATGGGGTGGTGGTGGCATGATATAATTATGTCTTTGAATATTTGAAAGACCAAACTCCAGGTGGGGTGACTGTGTCCTTCAAAGTTCCATTTGGGTCTGAAACTTGATGACATTTCCCAGCTGTTCTTGAGGAGAATGCTTCACAGATATTGGTAACCAATTATGTTCCTGGAGGCTGAAATCTAGACTCATGTAAGGTGACCTTACAACTAACAAACACAGCTGAGGAAAAGTAGTTTCAAGGCCACCAATACAAGAATATTCCAATTATGTAGAAAGAATACCAATGGTTTTATGGAGGAAAACCCAAAGTTTTACTGTGACATAATTATTACAGAATGAAATTTGGCATAACATGATCACACCTCTTTTGGGACTCATCCAGTGACTGTTATTTGTAGGAAGTTTAAGGAAGAGTACACATATATAGTATGTGTACCCAAAAACATCATACATGATTCTATTCTGTAAGAAGGAGTGTTATCACAAGCATGTTAGAGCATAAGGAGAGTAAGTTATATTTCAGACTAGAAATATCTGAGAAGCCTTCTTGCATAGTTAATTAATTGCAATATTTATAGGAAGCCTCCAGAAAGCACAGAGAGGTACACTGAATGTCGGGGAGGAGGAAGGCTCACAGAGTGAATTGCACAGGTAGAGACAGAGATGCATTCTGACTGAAAAGAAAGAAAAACAGGAAGAAATTATATTAAATAAAAATATTTGCATATTATTATAGGCATGTATAACACCAGTAATATATTTGCAAAAAAATTCAGAGACCACAAACATGATGAGCAGCTATGTTCTTTGTGCAAACCTGTTAATGATTTTTCAAAAAGACCAGTGTGGAAATGTATGGACAGAAACCAGCTCCATGAGTTAGGTTCGCCTATAGCCCTATGTAAACTCTCCTCTCTGGTGTTAAAGCTAGAATGCCTGATTATTTACTGGGAGTTCCCCCCTTGCTCTTAGTCCAGTTTATTAGGGATATTAACAGTGTTTTAATATATCTGCTAGGAAAATCATTGGAAATTATTCATACATAAAACTGGTTGTACCTGTTAACTTCTTTTTGTTTGTTTGTTTTTTGTTTTTTGTTTTTAAAGCGCAAAGTCGAATATGCTTTAGATCACTTGGAAGTCATTTATTCAGCAAAAATGTGCTGACAGCCAGCAACGTACAGGGAATCCGGGGGACATAGGAAAGAATAAAACAGACTCATCTAAAAGAGCTCATGCTTGAGAGAGAGAACATTTAACATTAAGAATAGTACAGGGCTGGGGATGTGGCTCAAGCGGTAGCGCTCGCCTGGCATGCAAAGGGTGCTAGGTTTGATTCTCAACACCACATAAAAATAAAGAATAAAGATATTATGTCCACCTAAAAAAAAAACCTAAAAAATAAATATTAAAAAAAAGAGAATAGTGCAAAGTGGACCACGGCAAACATTTCAAGAGAGATGAAGTGCCGTTGATTTTAGAGGACAATACCTATTTATCAACATCATATGTGTTTCAGGACTACAGTCAACTGATTATCATGGTTTTACCTCTCATATCATTCTGCCTTACACTGAAGTTCTAACCAAATTTGCAGGATATTCACAAAAATCTACAAATATAAATATTTTATTTTTTCAGGTTGAAGATATCCTGGGTAACATTATGATGATTTGCCCATGTTTTTGTGGTGTGGTATAAAAACAAAACGACCCTGTATGTAATCCATTCAAAGTGTGAGGGAACACACAAGTGTCTTGGAATTCTAGAGAACTCCCATTGTTCAAAATGTAAATGTTCCCTTAATTTGTTCACCACTAATGAATATGAATACCTTATAGAGTGGATCACGAAAGAAAAAAAAATAGATGTTTTAAGCCTTAATGATATATTACGAATAGGCAGACTTAAGAGAATAGCCTTTTATTTTTTAATTCCTACTGCTAAATTCTATATGGTTTTCTAAATAGGTTCATAAGAAACTAGAGATAAATTACCTTCCAATGAATAGCACATAGGCTGTTTAATTGCCAGGAACTAATAAGCATTTTGAATCAAGTAAGATTGAAGGTTTTTAATTTTGTTTCATGTTACCTTAAATTTGTTACATGCTTTAGGATTAAAAAACATAAAACTTTTCTTCAAAAAAATCCTTTGATGTTTGGAATTAGTAAACGCGTGAAGCGTGGAATAACTCTACCTTCTCTTAGCGTCATCTTTTCATTCTTTTTTTTTTTTCCTATGACATAAGGTGACATATCCAATGCTGGTCCTTCGTCAGATGTTTCTGTGAGCAGCAGAGCAGAAAGCTCTAATATCTATTCATTCGTAGTGTGTCATTTTGAATGTATTAAGGACAATTGACTTCACATGTTGTAGGTAATTAGAAAAGTCACCTTCAGCTCCAGGTTTTTAAAGTATCACACATGAGCACATGTATGGATGTCTTTCAACATATCTGAATATCTTTCTATCTCTCATTTTTATGGTTGACAAATTATCTCCATGGCCGTTTAATTTAAAGGATTCATCTAAAAT